TTTTTGAGGTGGAGTTTCGCTCTTGTTGCCCAGGCTGGAGTGCAGCGGCTCAGTGCAACCTCCGCCTCCTGGATTCAAGTGATTTTCCTGCCTCAGCTTTCCCAGTAGCTGTGACTACAGGCATGCACCACCACACCTGGCCAATTTTTTGGATTTTTAGTAGAGATGGGTTCTCGCCATGTTGATCAGGTTGGTCTCAAACTCCCGACCCCATGTGATCCGTTTACCTTGGCCTCCCAAAGTGCTTGGATTTCAGGCATGAATCACTGTGTCTAGCCTAAGTGGCTTTTTCAAAAAAAGAAATTCAGCAGTTTTTCTTTTTTTCAGATTACTAAAGTAATACCTGATTGCTGTAACAAGGCAAAAAATTCAGAGGTGTATGAAGTTCCATCATCATCCCTCCTGTTTCTCCAAACTATGCGTCTGAGATAACCCATTTTAGAAGTCTGATGAGTATCATTCCATGTTTTATTAACATGTTTACATAGTCTTAAACAAACATAGATAAATAATACATCCAGGTTTGTAATGCAAGCTATTATAAATCTAGACAATTTTATATTTCTCTACAATATAAACTTACGGGCTCAAGCTATCCGCCTACCTCTGCTCCACTAAACGCTGGGATTACAGGTATGAACCACAGTGCCTGGTTATAATTTGCTTTGTAATTTAACATTATCATCATGAAGAGCTTTCCAAGACAAAAGATAATTTGACCACATTATTTTGAAGTACTGCACAGTATTTCATGAAACAAATGTAAAATAATACATATAACCAACCCCCTTTTGGTGAACAATTTGTCTTTTCCAGTTGTTTGCTACTGAAATGCTAGTTCACATAGTGATACTGATTTCTCTACATATCTGTGTTTTTTATTTTATAAGGTATATGCCTACACGTGATAGTGATATACCAATGTTCATATTCTTAATTTTTTATGTGCTACCTAATTACTTTACCAAAAGATAGAGTCAACAGTGTCAGTATACACTCTTTTCCCAAAAATATTGATTATTCTGGATGTCAACTCTTCTAAATCGTGTCAAGATAGTGGGTTAAAAAAAATCACATTATATTGTTTTAAGGCATACTTCTATGGCATGAGTGTAAATATTCAAAATTGTTATTTTAGTGTAGTTCTTATTAAAAGTTATAGTCATCACTTGTCAAGACACAATGAGTTAATTTTCCACACTACTTTTGAAAATCTGGAAGGGCACAAAACTCACATATTTGTTTTTTAAGTGTCCCATGAAAATGCAAATGTTAACTTACCTACTAGCAAACTTAATACTGCAATTCTATTATATGAATCAAACTATGGATGTTATTGGAATCAAATTATAAGATTCTAATTTTAATTATCTGAACAAAGTGTCAACCGTAACAACCAAAAGAGGTCTGCTAATCTTCCAACCTATCACAGTCAAATTAACAAAACACTGACAAACAAGACAACAACCAAAATCTATGCAGATTATCACTATGAATATGATATAATTCAGTGGAGCTCCTTGGAATTGAGAGATATGGAAGGATTATTTGAGGTGGTAATAACTAAACTGAGGTATGAGTACCAAAAAGTACCAGGTGAGGGAGAAGAGGAGACTAGGAAGGCATAGTCAGGGAAAGAGAGGCAATGTATCTACAAAATAGAGTGGGAGAGAATAGGAAGATAGAAGGATGAATTTTAAAGATTAATAGAGAAGTAGATTTGGGGATAGGAGATAGGAACTAGAAGCCCTCTTTGCACATTTGAAGTTTAAGGCCTACTCCAAGGGTAGATGAAGATCAGTAACTCAAGAGGTGACTCTGGGGACCAGGAAGAGGCCAGGATGAATGATAAAGATTTAGGGGACACTGGCATCAAGATGTCATTTAAAGCCACTGTACAAGAGATCATCTAGAGGTTATCCAGAGAAGCAAAAATTAGTCAACAAATGTGTAAACAGAGATATAATATCAGTTAAGCACTAAATAGTCTTCAAAAACATAGCAGTCTTCAAAAAAATAGTCTTCATAAACTTTGGTTTATCCAAAAAAAAGATTTTAAATATCAGATAGTTCTACAGTTGTAATATGCATTATTTTAAATGGCTTGGGAGTTCATTTTAAGGAACCCCATACTGAATCATCTTATGAGACAAAAATTTTATATTAAAATGCCAATAATAACCTCTAAAGAGTGTTTGTGAATTCAGACATTTACCTGTGAGGTGGTGGCATTTTAAGTGAGTCCTTATTAGAATGACAAAGCTATGCATACAAAATGTTCTGGTCTCAAAAGTGAACACAGAAAACTATCTGTCACGAAACCTTATCTGATACACAAAAATAGATGGATAATAACATAAATGACAAATAAATAAGAAAATCTTGTGTGAGGGAATAACCTAACACGTGTAAGTACTTTGATTCAGGTGATTGAGAATGAGTGCCTCCTTAAATGTTGTACCCCAGGTGTTTCTGTTGCCTCAGCCTGATCCCAGACAAGTTGACTCCTCTTCTGTAGCCTAAAAACATATGCTTCATTTATTCAAATAATGAAAATTCAAGAATGTGCATATATTAATTAAAATGTTGACATCTAAAGGTCCAAATTGGAGGTGCTGTAGTATCAAGAAGGCTTAAAAATATACAAGTGCATGACATAACAAAAATGAAAGTGAACAGACTTCAACTAATAATGTTAATCTCATAATTTATCTCCTATCATGTAATTGGTTCCTAGAGAATCACTTTTGGAAGTAGTTCAACACTGTACAACATAAAATCTAATATATCTCTAATTTTTCAATCTGTTTACAAGTGTGTTTCCTCTTTCTAATAATGAAAATAATAAGAAAAATGGCTTTACAATAAAATTCTGACAAATACATAAAATTCACTCAAAGATCTGTTCTGTTTTAAGCCATTAAATAAGTACAAGGGATTTTCCAAGTAAGTAATTGAAACTCTTAAAACACTTGGAGGCTTGGAAAAGAAGTTTTCACATCTCAATACAAGTTTAATTTCTTAATCCATGAATAAGCAATTTTAGCAGATAATCTATTTCCATGATTTTTAAAATGCATTATTTATGATAATATAGATATAAATATGAAATTAATAAATCTTGATTAAATTCCAAATAATAAATATGAAAGAGTTCAAGAATTATGATTTTCTTAATTGACATTTTAGCTTTATTCTAAAGGAAAACATAATAAGTTTAGTAAATACACCAGGAGAAAACAAAGAGTTAAATAGAATGGTCTTAAGAAAAATAAATTTGCTCAGTTCAGTGACAAAATCAGACAATGAAGAAACAGTTTACTTTTAAACATCATTCACATTCCTCAGCCTCTAATTAGCTTATTCATATAATTTGCTGTTTACAGAAAATTTACTTTTCTCAACAGTCAAGATCTTATTTCAAAGTTCAAGAAAAAATGTAATTATAAAAAATGGATATTTTAATCCCAAAAATGCTTTAATTAAAATTAACTTTTTCATATCAAGTAAATTAAATGCATAATCTAAAAACTTAATTTCCAATTCCTAATTCATATTACAACATGCTAATAAAATGAGGTTGAATAAAACTAGTAAAGTTTATACTTTCCATAAATAACTATATAAAAACTTGAAAAGAGAGGTTAAGTGCTATAAATTTTTTCAACAGCAGAAGAAACAGCTAGCATTTTTTAAATGCCATTTATGTAGTTATCTCATCATTCAATATGGGCTAGGTAAATAAATAAAAGACAGCAAAGATTAAAGAAATAAACTCATTAGAAAATAAAACAATGATCAAAGTAATAGCATTCACACAGAATTCAAAGAGGATAGATAAATCATAAACAGAAAAAAAAAAAAAAAAAAAAAAAAAAAAAAAAAAAAAAAAAAAAAAAAAGAAAAAAAAAAAAAAAAAAAAAAAAAAAAAAAAAAGCCCTATAAGGATAGAAACAGGAAAAAAAGGCAGTAAGTAAAAGTAAAGTAACATAAATAAGTAGCATGCTTATGCTGCAGACAATGTCATCATGATTAAATTCAAGGTTTGGAAGAGAAAGAGTCTTACCTGAGCGAGGAACACACATGATATATAAAGCAAATAAGAACAGAAGAGAATTGGGCTTCCATTTCCAATGGCAGCTCCACATTCGATCTGAATGAAACATCCTGCAAGGAAAGAAAATGGCAATCAGGACATTCCACATTCAGCAAAGCATTATGACAAATAATGCAAAAGGGTAGGTTTCCAACAGAGACTGGAAAATAAACCTTTTTCAGCCTTGCTTCCAAATACAGGAGGAACTTAAAAGATGATGATGACCTAATCACTTCCTTCAATCTAATTAGCAAAAGAAAATAAATCCATGCATTTTATTTGCCATGTGGTAGCACTTTCCTTATCAAAATACATATAATAGGTGATTTCTGCATGAAGATGGGTATATAGACAATTCAAAAAAATGTATTAAAGAATAAAGCAATTTTACCTTAAGCCTCACCAGATTCATGCTCATCTAGGTAGAAGGATGTTTATATCAACCTTCCTTATAATCTTACAGAAATTTAGACTGTAAGGAAATGTTCTCCTTAATGTCTGCCACTTTACAAATGGAAATATTTAAAATAAAACCAAATTACCCAAGCTCTATTCTATCCCCTAACATGAGACACTGAAGCATTAACTTTCCAAAAAAGGTAAAGTCTTTATATGTAAAATAGGTATCAATGTTTTTAAATGGTTAGTAAACACCAGGTATTATAGAAAGTAGTAAATGACATTAGATGGAGAGGTGGTGCTTTGAAAACTCAACAATCCTTCTGCACGATGGACTCATTTAAATCTGAAAATTATTTTTAATAACGATTTAGAAAGGAACATTATTATATTGCCTCAAAACAATGGTATAATACATTTCATTGAATCAGAACCATCGAAAAAGGCAAAAAGGAAGAAATTACAAAAGTCAATCACCGAAAGGGACTATAAATGGACTGGTAAGCAGAAGAGTTTAAGGCAGGAAGTAAGCACCAGTCAGAAATCTCCAGGAGACCTGAAAATCCCCTAAGAGAGATTTACTTTGCCTATGAGTAGTAACTGAGAGTCATTTATTGAGGAGCAGCTAATAGGAGACTTTAGGGTTACAGTAATATCTACCCTAAAGCCTGAAGTTTGCTTACCTGGGTAAAATGTGTAATACTAAACAGAAAAGCAGACAGAGAAACACTCGAATGAGCAAAATTGGACATCAAAGGACTCCTGCACTTGCCTCAAGCCTGAATTTTTAATCTTGAAGAGACCATCTCCATCTTATAGCCATGAAAACAAGCTTAGAATCAGACAGATCTGGTTTGCTACTTATGAACTATGCTGCAACCCTTGGGAAATTGCTTGATCCCCTTGTGCCTCCTATTTCTTACCTGTAAAATAAGGAACAGCAATGTACCTAGTCCATAGTGTTGCTGAGATGATTAAACAAGATGATACCTTTTAAGAACAGTTCCTGACACTCAGCAAGCACTCAGTAAATATTAGCTATTATTTTTATTACTATCATTTCAGGCATTCTCACTTAAGTGGTGTTATTCTGTCCACAGTGAAATCAAAGGAAAAGACTCAAGCAAGAGTAAACAAGATTAATCTCACATGCCAACACCAATCAATTGACTTTATGGTCACTTCTGGGATCACCTGGGGACAGAAATGAAACTGGTTATTCATGTCTGCTATGAATACAGAAATATTAAGTAGTGTCTGAAACTCATGCCATGTTTTAGTATTCATATTCACCAAACTAGAAGTTCTAGAATCATGCAGTATTCCTGATGGAAATTCTAAACTAGGAATATTCAAAACTAGGAAAAGGTTAAGATTTGAAGAGTATCTGTTGTTTTCAAGTTATGTTTTATAATCCATTCATCCAAAATGTTTGAGATTAAAAGAAGTACTGCTAATGAGAAGTATGTTTTCGTAAGTAAGAAAGTCGTAATTATAATAAAGGATGTGAACTCTCCAACGGCACCAACTTAACTCCTGGTGCCTCTATAAATTGTGTGGTTTGTAGGGCAAGTACTTAAAGTCTTTTCTTCTGTAAATAGGATATTACCCACCAAAAAGAACTTGAAATAACAGTACGGGGCAATCTGTAGGGGCTTTTAAAACCGTAGGTGACAAACTTCCGTCCCATAGAAAGTTCACTTATTTGGAAGAATAGGCCTGTTTCCTACTGATGCTGGATGAATGAGTATGCTTCTAAAACAAAAGCACAATTATATATTCAAAGAAGTTTACAGCCAGAAGGACCAAAGCTGAAGTCTAATCTAACCTTCTCATTTCACAGAAGAGGAAACACAGATCCAGGGAAATAAAGAGACAGACCAATCAAACCTGGCTGTCACCGTTACGGATATTAATCGAAGAATGCATCAGCCCAAGAAATTCCCAGCTTCTTACACTTTTTGACATATGACAATTCCCTTTTAACAACATGTGAATATTGCCCCTCTCTTAGATTCGTGTGATATCTAAACAATACTCATAGATTACTGCTCATTAGTTTGGCTACAAAATACTGTTTATACGTTCCGGTAACTTCATTGCTATAAAAGATTTCAACATTTAGGGATTCCATATTCAATCCTGAAGCTGTCTTATCAAAGCTCCCGGCAATCCTATGAGTTGCAAATGACCACCATGGCTTAAGGCATTCCATGTCTCAAAACTTTATCACTTCAGACAGAAAAGAAGCTCAACAGGGCAAGCACTTCTAACCAAAGAAACCATAGGACAGACCAACTTTCCTCTACTTTACTGTTTACTGAAGAAGATAAACAAACAAATTAAGAATAGAACAGAGGAAGGAAAGTACTATGTGTTTTCTCAGGGGATCACTTAGCAAAGATACATCCCTGAGATTTAAATAACTTTCTCCCAAGAATGGAAAATCCTGAACAGGGTTACTAAGGTTCTAAATAGGAACTACGAGGGGAAAAAGAACACAAAAAACAGTTCAGTCTTATACTATTTTGACTGTGGTCTCAAAGTTCTAGGGAAGACAGCAGGAACATTTTTAAGTAAAAGACAGTCATGGACTCCTATATCTGGAAGAAATCTAAAGATTATGCAAAAACAAACAAAGAAATAAAAAAAAAAAACACCCTATCATCTTACAGGTGAAAAAACTAACATACTAAACTACTTGCCCAAGATCATATGTCAGTGGTGTCAGAGTCAAAAGATCCTTTTTGTCACCTGGCTTCCAACCTAGCGTACTTTTCAAGAACCACACTACCTCTGCTGCAAACTTGTTCCCCTTTTCAATCTACATAGGCCACAAAATACAATTTGCTTGAGTCCTGTTTCAGGAAGCTTTAGAATGTAAAGCTTGAGGACTCGATAATTTTAGTATGTGTTATAGTCCCATTTGTTTGAGTCCTGTTTCAGGAATGGGAATGATAAAACAAATGGGGCCCATACTCAGAACAGATGATTCTGGGCAAAAGGTATAGAGGTGTGTTCTTCGCATTATTTTTATTTTTGAAAACTTCAGGTACATTTAACATTATTTCTAAATACATACATATTTACATTGAAATTATCATTGTTTTCACATCATGGCCCGCTCATCACTATTATTATTGCTTTAAACATTATCACTTTTACAGAATTGCTTTCAATGTGCATGTGATTCCTTGTAGGCATTATTTTATCCAAATGGATGACCAAAATAATCTTAAAAACCTACCATTTTCCATCTCTCTACTCCTACTGGTTTCTCCAAAAGTCACAATTTAAAAAGAAATTAGTGACAAAATTTTGGCATTAGTGGAGAAATTAATATGATACTAATGCAATCAATACTAGCAACTGTCAGAATTAACTTCTTTCCCTGTATCCCAACTCTGTTTCTGTGGCAAATCTTTTCATAAAGGGGACTGGGGAGTGGCAGAGAAAATACCTTAATTTTTCCAGAGTGAAAAGAATGGTAATTCGGTTTATTCAAGTCTGCTTATAATCGTATTTTTTTTTTTTTTGGTTAAAGATCATGTTCCTGAGCCAAAGCAATGTATTTTTTAAAAAGCGCTATTCTATTAAGTCAATTTAAGTCCCTTTATTAAGTTGGGTGTACCTCCACTGATTTATTCTTCAACCCTGCACAAATCTTAGACCTTATTTGAACAGTAATATGCATAACTGCCTTGTACCAGAGGTGAGAGTAAAACTCAGCCTTGAGAATTGCACACATATGTACACAAGAGTGAGTACATGTGAAACTTAGGAAATCTGAAAAAGAGTAGTAGCAGTAGCAGTATACCGGTTTTAATATTTTACTATAGGTTTTCCAAAGGCTACACACGGCCAAAGGTACACTGGGTCTCTGTATTTTTTTGGCAAGTATATTTGAACTTACAAATATCTTTAAAATTTCAATTGAAAAATTAAACTCTTAAGCCCTTATGCATACAACATGTTGTCAGATAGTTCAGAATAAAATTTGTGTGTGTGCGTGTGTGTGTGTGTGTGTGTATAGGAAGGGCTGGTGGGGAGCTAGGCACGGAGGAACGGGAATGATAAAACAAAGGGGACCAATACTCAGAATAGGTGATTCTGGGCAAAAGGTACAGAGGTGTGTTCTTTGCATTATTTTTATGTTTGCAAACTTCAAGTAGATTTAAAATTATTTCTAAATACAAACACATTTACATTGAAATTATCACTGTTTTCATACCATGGCCCTCTCATCACTACTGAGTATTATTGCTTTAATCATTAACACTTTGATAGAAGTGGCATTTCATTCTAATTTCCTTTATTTGGATTGTCATGCTCAAGTCATTTGTATGGTTTTCTATTACGAATGTAAATATTTTCTTCATTGATTTGTGATTTTTTTAACCAATCCTATTTTAAATATGCTAAACTTCTGTCATATTTGTTCTGTTTCAAATAAAAGAATCTTGAAGCTTTTTTTAAGGCAGTTCAGATAATTCCATTTCAAGCAATGCTTATAAAGGAAAGTAAGATGACGCGCAGGTAGCCACATTTTGTGATCAGTATACCCTTTATATGGCACCACCCCAGTCAACCAGTATGCATCTTTACATCACCCAACGTGGATAATATCATAATCTCACCCAAACAGAAATGAAAATGGAAAGGTACAGTTTTTGCCCATGCATACCACACACATTGAATACCGTCTTTTCTATTTAGTCTAAATTCTAAATAGACTGTAGAAACTTTCAATCATCCCATCAGAAATGTAAACTCTGTAAGATACATGGGCCATTAGAAAAATGGTCAGGTTTTAAAAAGCAGTCTTTAGTTTATTTTTAATATACAAACTAATTCTCTTTTAAACCATTATTTCCAGACATCAGAGTAATGTGTCCACTTAGGCTACAAAACTACAGGCTTCTAATATTTCCCATAAGCCAAGAGACAATAGCCTCATTCACCATTCATATTGAAAAAGCACAATGTCATGTAATTTATATAAGCCATAAATGGAACAGTAGCTTCATGCAGCTTGAGACCAATTAATGCAAGTCTTGCTAAATCTACTAAATTTCTTACGGTATGAAAAATATGCAGTCACTACAACTCCCAAATGTATTCATCAAGTCTAAAATTTCAGAACTTGAGTGTAACAATATACAAATACACTTTCTCCACAAGGAGGAGGCAGAAAATACACTTAGTTTCTGTACTTTACTAAAATTTAAAGGGTAACATAGTTTACGTTCCCCGTTTTAACATTTTTCAGCAAGATAGTAAGAAAATTAATCTTGGAAAGGTTGATAATTATTTCCCTATATTCTAACAAACCAATACCTAAAAAGAATCAGACCGTCCTAAACCACTCCATATGAATAGTAAACAGCAAAATGGAAAAAAAATATACTTACCATCTGGTAAAAAATGGAAATTTTCAGTCAAAATAGCTCAATAAAGAATCTCAAATGAAGGTACCAAGTCCTATTTTCTATGTGATTTCATATTCATGCTTTTACCCTATAATGACATGATTTTTAATCACGAAGAATTCAAATGGACTATATAACTTAGTTTTATGATCAGGAAAGTTTTACATTACCTGTTGATAAGTTTCATATTTTTTATTTAAAAAACAGGTATTTATACTTTTATGTATAATATGCTTTTTTTCTCATAAGATCTGAATGCTTAGGAAAGCTGAAAAGAAACTGGACAAATATCTGCTGTTTAAAACCCTAGTATATTTTCGAGAAAAACTGAAGTTGAAAACAAGCTCATATTCCTTCAAAATGTGTAGGCTGTATGAGAACAAGTCTTATACAAAAATGCTGGCTGTATCCCAAAATAAATTTTTTCACGTTATACCTTGTCGATTCCACTGGCATAAACAAAACTTTAAAACTCCCAGGTGTTGAGTTATTTCACATGCTGTTTCAGTAAAAATAAGTGGTTCATTTCTGATTACATTTCACAGTACCAGGAACAGAGCTAGAGAGTGCTAAGCTTGTGAGCACTATCCTTTCTTTCTCCTATTTTAAAAATGTGTGTTAGGAAGTGGGGAAGTGGGGAATGGAAAGTCTAGGAGAGTTTGGGAAGACAGGACCCAGGGGACAGATCTTTCCCCAGGTACTGAACTGAAAGAGTAAATTCATGTAAAAATAAATAAGGATCCAGGAGTTGGGGAAAGAAGAGTTAAGTTTCAAGTTCTAGAAACTGTTGTACGTGAGTTAGTGCAAGTGGATAAAATGTCTGTCACGGTGTCTGCTCAAGATTAAGTAAAACACCAGAAGCAAAATTACCTACTACAAGAAAAAGAAACCTCTTAGTTGGCTACAAAAATAAACTTGGCCCTTTTGAGCACGTACAATCTTCCTTTTTCCATTCTGGAAGGCCAGGAGATGCTTTGCGACCCTTTCGTGGGGTCGCTCTGAGCCACCTCACCATTAGGATGACAATTCCATGGAAGCAAAACCTTTTAGGTTTCCCTGTTTCAATGCCCTAATTTCCCCCGCCCCCATAAGTCCCCTCAGATCCTGTCACGTAACGTGGCATAACCCTTAATTACTTCTTAATCTACAATGCACACTGAAAACATTTTCTGCACACCTTAAAAAAAAAAAATTCAAACACCCCAAAGATCCAAGAATAACTTCTACAGTCAATGGTGACAACGTGTAAAGTCAACATTTTCTCGGCATACCAGTACCTTCGAAGCCCCCAGGTGTTGATCCCGGAGAGCGCCTTCTTGGCAGGACTAGGCCCCTGGACGGAGGAGTCGTGCCGGTTACTCCTTGTTTAATTTGAATCGAAAACACGTTTTCCCCATTCTTGAAGCCCTGCCCTTTTTATTAGGCTTTTCACCGCCCAAATGTGAGGTTTACCTCGCTGGCGGAAAAAAAGCCACACGCAAATGTCACAACTCCACTTGGCAATAGTCCTACTCCTCAGTGCCTCGAGGGGCACACTGAAGACAAACCAGTTTATTCCCACTGTGCAGTTGAAGTCCTTAAAAAATCATTTCGCTTGCGGGTGGGGTGGTCGGGGAGGGGGCGGCAGAGGGTGAACACAGATAAGAGTGAAGGAATTCAGAGCTTAAAGGTGAGACTTACATGCTGACATTACTGCCCCGAGGTCCCCTTTGGCCGCAGGATCATCCTCCACTACTTTCCCGGCTCTGCTACCGCTGCTCCACCGAGGGGGACCCCCAGGCACCCGGCCGTGCGCCGCGAAGGGACCCTCCTTCACTCGGTTTCTGGAGAGTTCATGGGGTTTCCCGACGGCGCAAGGTGAACTGCTGGCGTTCAGCGCAGGGCCTGCGAGCGGGCAGGCTGGCGGCAGGTTCCGCCTCGCAGGGAAGTTGGCAGGGCGAGGGCGAGAGGCCGAGGAAGTCGGGTGTGCGCGGGGCTGCTGCTGGGGTGGCCGGGCCGGGCAGGGGCGCGGGGAGGGGTGCGCGTCGCAGGTCCTCGCCCCTGCTGTTGTGAGCGGGACTCGGCCGCCTCCCTGAGGACTCGGGTCCCCCTCGCGGGCGCGGGCTGCTCTTCCCCGGCCCGTGCGCTCCGCCCGCGCTTCCGGCGCCGCGGCGTGGCTGGGGCTGGGGCTCAGGTGCGGCGGCCCCGGCTGCGGGCGGCGTCAGGCCCGACTCCAGCGGCACGGGTCTGGGCGCTTCGCGGCTGGGGCTGTCCCGAAGGCGCGGCTGCCGCACCCGGGATCCTCAGCCCCAGGGCGGAAAAGGAGAAGTCGCCCCGCGGGACGAACAGACGCTCTCGGAGCGAGCGGCGAGGACAGGGCGGCGGGGGTCGGCGTGGGGTGGGCAGTGGGCGCAGGGCCGGGCTCCGCTCCCGGGCGGGGAGGGGACGGGGCGGACCCGGAGGTCGCCAGAACGCCAGGAGCGCTGAACTCGGGAGACCCCCGGCGAGAGAAGGGAGAAGCTGGGCAGGCAGGCGCTCCTGCGGCATCTCCCCTGCGCTGGCAGCCCACCCGGGTCCCCGCGCGGGGCCCCCTGCCACACTCCCGAGCCGTTGCTTTGCTTCACTTTTCTGTCACTTTTTTTTTACTTCACTTTTCTATCTTCTCTCACTAGTTCGCTTGCTCGAAAAAATGAAGGGATGTGAACAGGAGGCTGGGAAGATGGTCACATAACATTTTATTGCGAGGGACGGATTTGCCAACACAAATCCAGCTGTTCGTTGGGGAAAGTCAGCTGCCTGCTCTCCAATGCGCCTATAAAGTAGCTGCCTGGCAAAGGGATCTGGACACACCTCCTTGGGAATGAGAAGAGGCAAGGGCTCACACTTGGAGAGGGCGTTTCTTCCCATTATGTACTGCCAGAGTTAATCCACAAAATGCTAAAGGCAAAGCTTCCAGTGCCAGGGCTGTATGCACATCCAGAACCCCAACAGCCCAGCTTGCACGGTGTACACACTGGCACATGCACGGGCCACACACAGAAGTGCCCTAACAATTATCTAACGTTGACTGGCTTAGCTTAGGATAGAGAACTGTTGGTGGGTGGGGGGTGTGGGGAGGAGGTAAAGCAGGACTTACTCAGTTACAAGCAGAAAGGAAGCTGGAACGCTGCCACTAATTCCAGAGGCCTGAACATCTAGGGTGTGTTCTACGTGTCACTTTTATCGGTATTTATTTTGATGAATAAACAGTATGATTAATAGAGACATTTAATTGTAGCATTTAAGGGAAACTTAAGTTCTTCTGCCCAACTCTCTCACATTAGCAGGTAAAGAAATGAAACTTTGATCAGATCTGAGGTCTGTACACACTAGCTAGAGGTGACCAGGGGCTAAGACCAGGTTCCCAGACTTCCCTTTTGAGTCAGCCGCTGTAACACAATATAGTCCCAAAGAAATTTAAGTGCCGCTTGTGGAATTTTTTAAAAGCAACGTGTATTTCACGGTTTTTTGGGTCAAGAATCTGTATGTGCCCTAGCTCAGTGTCTCTCAGGAGGCTACAATTAGAGTGGTGAAAAGGGATGGTCCGATCTGAAGACTTGACAAGGGAAAGATCTACTTCCAAGTTCACGTATGTATTTCTTCCAGTCATAGATTTTTAAAGCTAGAAGAAACCTGGGAACATAGCAAACAAAGAAATATAAATAACTGCCAGTCATGGTGGCTCATGCCTGTAATTCCAGGACTCTGGGAAACTGAGGAGGATCACTCGAGGTCAGGCGTTCGAGACCAGCAGCCTGGCCAACATAGTGAGACCTCATCTCTACTGAAAAAAAAAGCCAAGCATGGTGGTGCACATCTGTAATCCCAGCTACTCAGGAGGCTGAGGCAGGAGAATCGCTTGAAACTGGGAGGTGGAGGTTGCAGTGAGCTGAGGTTGCACCACTGAACTCCAGCCTGGGCAGCAGAGCAAGACTCTGCCTCAAAAAAAAAAAAAAAAAAAAAAAAAAAAAAAAAAAAAAAAAAAAAAAAAAAAAAAAAAAAAAGAGAGAGAGAGAGAGGAGAAAGAAGAGAAGAGAAGAGAAAAGTAAATAACTGCATTATTCAGTATTCCCTAGAAAAACAGAGCCAACTATCTGTGTATGTGTATAGATAGATATATTTTAGTTTTAAGGTCTTGTGGAGGTACAAGAGCAAAATTTGCAGTCAGGCAGGCTGGAGATTCAGAGAAGAGTTATAGTCCAAGTCCAAAGGCAGTCTGGCAGAATTCCTTCTTGCTTAGGGTAGATCAGTCTTTGCTCTGTTAAGGCCTTTAGCTGATGAGATGAAGACTACCTGCAGTATGGAGGATAATCTTTGTACATAGTCCACTGATTTTTCATAGTTTTTATTGTGATTTTTGTTTTTGAAATTTATTTTTATCTTTAATTGACAGATTATAATTGTATATATTTGTGGGGTATAATGTGATATTTTATATATGTATATGAGGTGAAATGATTATATCAAGCTAATTAACGTATCTTATTTTTGTAATAAGAACCTTTGAAATTTACTCAACAAGTTTGAAATATGCAATGTATTATTACCTATATTCACTATGCTGTGAAATAGATTTCAAAAACTTATTCCTTCTAACTGAAACTTACTATCCTTTGACAAACATTTCACCATTCCACCTCACCTCACCCCCTGGCCTCTGGTAACCACTATTCTACTCTCTACTCCTATGAGTTTGTTTTAGATTCACATATAAGTAAGACCATTTGGTATTTCTCTTTCTGTCCATCAGTGGATGAATGGATAAAGAAAACATGGAGTATATACACAACAGAATGCCATTCAACCTTTAAGATAGAAATTCTGTCATTTGTGACATGTGGATGAACCTGGAGGACATTATGCGAAGCCCACTGATTCAAATGTTAATCTCATCCAAGAAATGCCAACACAGACACACATAGAATAACATTTGGCCAAATACCATGGCCAAGCCAAGTTAACACATAAAATTAACCATCACGTTAACCAAAAAAAGGTGGACATACATCTAGAATACAGTAGTTTTTACATGTGCTGTTATATGTTAAACTGTTCATAATTTTATGCATTGAAATTAATATAAGAATCAAAGCTAAAATATTTCAATGAGTCAGTTCCTGTTATTGGTCACTTTGTTAATAAAATCTGTGTATCTTGACAGTTTTGTCTTCAAACTAAGAATTTGTTCTTTTCTTTTGAAAAAGCGTGTTAGGGAAGTGGAGTGTATGGTGGAGAGTACATAGCCCTTTAATGCAGTACACCTGGATTCTAAACGTGACCCTACAATTGGTCAGCATTGTGAATTCTGGCAGTTTACCATGTAAACTAAGCTTGATTTGTAAAGTAAGAATAATGATACTTATAATGTTAAACTCATAGAGCTATGAGGCAGTTTCAGTGATACATTCTGATGTCATTAGACATTCTAATGACATGAAGCACTCAGCATATTTCCTGGAATTTGCTAATATTAGTTGCCTCTGCCTGCCCCACTTATCATATTATCCTAAAACTGAAAAGTGCCAAGACCACATTCCTCTATGTACAGGAATCCTCCGACAACATTCCAGGCAAAATGAATATTGAATTTCTGTTTGAATCCCTTAACACTGATGCACACTCAACTATGAGAAACTTCCTCTTTCCGTGGATTGAATCAAACATTCATGCTTTCAACTCCCATTCAATACAAGCACATTCTCTTTTCCACAATAAGCCTTTCAAATTTCTGAAGACAGCTATCATCTCTCTATTCAGCCTTCCTTCATTCAGTTTTGACAGCCCTAGTATTTTAACCATTCAGTGTCTGTCTCCTCACCACACATGTTACTTGCCCTTCCCCATCTGCATGTGAGTCATCATCAGCCCTCTTCACAATGTATTCAAAGCGGATTTCAAACCTCAGCCCTGAACTGGATATTACTCTTGTATAAATAAAAGTGTTGATTTTTTGAGCAGCAAAAAATTGCTTCAGCAACACAAATTCTATCATTTGTGACAACATGGATGAACCCAGAGGACATTATGCAAAGTCCAGTGATTTAAATGTTAATCTCATCCAGGAAACACTTTCACAGACACATGCAAAATAATGTTTGACCAAATATCTGAACACCATGGCCAAGCCAAGTTGACACATATAATTAAGCATCATATGAACCAAAAAGAGATAGACATACACATAAAATAACATATAGCAAGAATAGTAATTATAGTAAATTTACCTTCTATGTGCCAGGGAGTATATAAATTTTATTCTACAAATCAAGTAGTTAAGGAAATATATATATTTGTAAATAATTCAGTCCAATTGGAAATTTCTGTGCTTATGTTTCATTCTGCCTTAATCCAAATCCTCCTGTTTCATCAAGTTTCTTGCTTTCTTCAGCAGGGAGAGTAGAAGAAATGTGATCTTTGACTTACTTGTGTCACTTACTTGTGACTCTCTAAGAGAATCAACCTTTTTGGTCACTGGCCATTGGCCCACATAGGATGTCAGTCTGGTAAGTGAGGCTTTTTCGGGCTCTCTCTTGATTATCTTGATGGCCTACCACAGCCTTCATCAGCCTGGCCCCACCAAGCAGCCCTTCTCTCTTTGTGGCCTTGCCTCCTTCCTGAGCCTCTATCTGAGAGGCAGCACACATGGCTTCTATTAAAAACCACTTCGCTTTGAGAGGCTGAGGCGGGAGGATCACGAGGTCAAGAGATCGAGACCATCCTGGCCAACATGGTGAAACCCCATCTCTACTAAAAAATACAAAGATTAGCTGGGTATGGTGGTGTGCACCTGTAGTCCCAGCTACTTAGGAGGCTGAGGCAGGAGCATTGCTTGAACCCGGGAGGCAGAGGTTGCAGTGAGCCAAGCTCGTGCTACTGCACTCCAGCCTGGTGCCTGGTGACAGAGCAAGACTCTGTCTCAAAAAAAAAAAAAAAAAAAAACCACTTAACCCCTCATCTCACAAACTGCCCCTCCCCACCCAACCTCTTTTAAAATGAGAGAAGAGAGATAGCTTCTCATTTTCTCTTTCTAAGAGAATGCAGTAG